ATGGGGGTCCCCCTTCCCCCTGTACTGCGGGCTCAGTCTGTGGGCCTCGAATTTTCCGGCCGGGCTGGGTACCCAGAGATAGCGCTGGTGTGTGAGTTGCTTCATGTCCCTATGATCAACATTTATGGGGTCGAGCTGGTGACGGCACGGCGAGCGATAGTGAAGTTCACGGACGAATTGGCGTATCGAGACTTTCTCCGTCGATACGAGGGGCGGACATTACCCCTGCCGGATGGTGCGGGTACTGTGTCACTCTCTGATCGGAGTGGTGCGGGTACTGTGTCACTCTCTGATCGGAGTGGTGCCCTCACATATGTCAGTGTGCATGGGGCTCCATTGGAATTTCCGGAGGGTCTGCTACGGCGGTACTTCGGCCGGTATGGCGCAGTGGTTAGTGTGCGGGTGAACGTGGTGTCTTCCAGTCCCCTTAAGGGGGTGAGGACGAACATTCGCACCCTGGGCATGAGGCTCCGGGAAGATATTCCGTCCTCTGTGCGTCTTATGGGTTACAACGTTCGGGTGTTTTACGCCCGCCAGCCTCAGACGTGTTATTGTTGTGGCCTCTTGGGCCATCAGGCTGCTGACTGTTCTGCGCCTGCTGTGGCATCCGTGAACCTCTTCAGTGAGGAGGATTTTCCGCCGCTTCCTGTGGAGGAGGATTCGGTGGATGTGGCGGTCTCTTCAGCTGTGGATGTGCCCCCTGTATCGCCTGTTGCGCCGCCTGGGGCACCTCCTGTTGTTGTCGCCTATCCTCCGGAGGTTGTGTCGTCGCCTGGTGATCGTCCTGCTCCGACTAGTGTCCCTGGGGTTCTTCAGACTGCCTTCTGCTCGCATCCCCCGTCTTCCAGTTCGTCCTCTGCTGCGTCTGGCCCTGTCCCTGCACCCTCGCCGTCTGTTCCGGCTGTGCTGGGTGATGGGGTGAATCCGGCGCTTCCTCCTGTGACTGGCCTGGTGCCCCATGTGGTTGAGGATGTTGCCGTTCTGCGATGTGCATCGGTTCGCACGGTTTGTGTAGCGCGTGTCTCTGAGTCAGCCTCCAGGTCTGATGATGTGCGGCCAGTGCCTAAGCATTCACGGCGTTCGTCTTCAGCATGGGCTGACGTTGGCGACTTCGACGCTTGTGGATCTGATGGCGACGGAGGGGTGGCACCGGTTGCGTTGCATACTACGGTGACGGCGGAGGTGCATTTGCCTGAGGATGCCGGTGCCGGTGTTTCGGCCTCTGCTTCGGATATGGTGTCTGCGGTTCCTGCTTCGGGTGCGTCGCCTGCCTTGGATGGCTCCGGTTCTTCGTGGGGGGGGGGGTGGTTCCCCCTGCTGAGGTTCACGGTGAGCAGGGTGGCTTGGTGATGGTGTTGAAAAAGGCTGCTCGCTCTGGGGGTTCTGTAGCCCCTTCCTCGGTCCCCGTTTCATCGGCTGCGGTCTTGACGCCTCTTCCGTCTCCGGCCGTCTCTTCAGCGTCTCCTGCGGACTCGGTGGAGACGTTACCATCTCGTCGATTGTCCCCTGCTCCTGTGCGTACGGCGACGCGGCCGTCTCGGCAGCCCTCGTACGCTTCAGCGGTGTCGTCTGCTACATCGAAGGACGTGGTTTGTGCTCCCAAGCCTCGTTATGTGACTTGCGTCGGTGAGCTTAAGGAGTGGCCGTTTCCGCCTGATCTGGTGGTTCCCGAGTTTATGAGTGGCCCACGCCGGCAGGGGGATCGTCTCCCTACCGACAGAGAATATTTGATTTGGGAGGCCTACAAGCGAAGGTATCCTTGGGCTTCGGAGACGTTTGGTCCTGTCTCTGAGAAATGTATTCCTCACTCATGATTCCTTTGTGTATTGTGTGTTGTTTCCATTTGTGTGCTTGGTTGTGGGGTGCGGGTCGGGTGTGTGTGAGTGGGTGGGGCGGGTTTGTTTCCCGGTTCCTGCGTGCTCCGGTTTGTGGTTGTGGGTTTATTTGTGTGGTTTGTGTGTGTGTGTGTCCGGTTCCTGTGCGGTCCGGGGTTTGGTTTGTGTGGATGTAATGTTCTTGTGTTAGGATTTGTGGTTCTATGTTATTATTCTTATTCTTATTATTGTTGTTATTATTGTTATTATTTTCGTTTCGTGTTGGTGCCTCTCCGTGCGTGGTTGCGGTGTTGGTAGCCTTGTTCTGTATATTTAATGTTTTGGTGTGTTATTTCTGTATTGTATTCCGCTGTGTTTAACTTATTTGTTGTAATTTGTTTGTAATTATTGTTTTGTGGTCGGCCCTTCCGGCCGGCGGTTTTGTGTTTAGTACACTTGTTCCCTTATGTTTTTGCACGTTTGTGTTGTGTCATTTTGTTCTGTTCTATGTTGTATTTGTTTCCTTTTATTGTACTTATAAGCATGTATATATACATATAAAAAAAAAAAAATAGAAGCAAAGTGTAGTTCACCAACTAGATGTGAGTGTGACTAGAAGCAAGGTGTAGTTCACCAACTTGGTGTGAGTGTGACTAGAAGCAAGGTGTAGTTCACTGCAGATGGAGAAATAAAGGGAACAGTATATTCTGTACATTTAAATAATGGTTAATTGACCTCGACTTCCTCGGGAAGTCATAAATGACAAATAGGTCATTTGATAATCATTAGTTCAAGGAACATAATTAGGTCAATTAGGTTCTTTGACCTCTTGACACTGGGTCAAGAGACCTAGGAATGATCAGCCCACTTAGTACGTCGAAAAGGTACAATTAACGCACAAGGGAATGTAGAGTTTAAACATTTGTTTTTTTAATTACTTAAATGAGGTAGTCTAACTATAGTTCCATAATTGAGGCAAACAGAAGTAGCGACGGGCAAGTAACAAGGACAAGAGAGCAGTATTTACGACCACAGTAAACTTCACTCTACCTGAGGTTCTTGATGTACTGTCCTTACTGGTCCGTGTGCTACACACACTCAACCACACTCTCTGCACTTCTAACTTTCATACAACTGTTGCAGGTCGCATGATGTCCTGGAGTGTGTTTTGATCTAGATTGGTAATCACAAGCAGATTAGTAAGGCCATAACATATCTGCCAAGATCATCATTATGTCCTACACACTTGACCTGACTAAAACTGGTCACTGTTAACACCCATAGGAAGTGAGAGTTCTTATTGCGTACTGATAGACTGTCTGTCGCACCACCAGATATGTTCCTGTGCAACCCGTTCTCGCAAATTTAATAAGTCAATATTGACTTATTAGTTGCGTGCATAGGTGACATACTAAACATAATAGTTTCCCTTGAAAAGCTTCATAGAAAACACCGACCTTACCTAACCTACTTAGTATGTTAAGATAAGCATCTTATAGCTTCGTAATTACAATTGTTACTTAACCTATTATAGGTATAGGTTAGGTAATAATTGTAATTACGAAGCAATAAGATGCTTATCTTAACATACTAAGTAGGTTAGGTAAGGTCGGTGTTTTCTATGAAGCTTTTCAAGGGAAACTATTATGTTAAGAATGTCACCTATGCACATATTTAATAAGTCAATATTGACTTATTAAATTTGCGAGAACGGGTTGTCCTGTGACGATGTTAATGTGATTTGTAGACCGCACCGGACCCCATATTCTGTTCCTAGTGGAAGGCTGTGGTCTTTCTGACACAGGTGTAGTTTCATAAAACGTATATGATTTTCTTTCTTCAGATGCGACGTGAGAGGTACGTTGGACGGCGAAAGGCAGTCCACCAGTAGTGGCCAGCAAGAGAATCCTCAAGAACGAAAGGCTTATATCGGTGGGAACAAGAAAGGTCTGGTTGTTGAAGATAGTGAACTGTCTGTGGTAGCCAGCGAGCTATTGGTGTTGGAACGACGTATCCCGGGGTGGCCCAGCTGTGTTCGCAGACGAAGTTGACGCACGTCTGTCCTCTAGGTTAAGGCTTGTTAACGGTTAAGCCTTGAGAGGAAGCCAGCCAGCATGTTGCTGGAGTTAATATTTAGACATTGTGATGATACTGTGCAGGACTGGGGTCAGATTCACGAAGCAGTTACGCAAACACTTACGAACCTATACATATTTTCTCAATCTTTGGCGGCTTTGTTTACAATTATTAAACAGTTAATGAGCTCCGAAGTACCAGGAAGCTGTTTATAACAATAACAACAGTTGACTGGGAAGTTTTCATGCTTGTAAACTGTTTAATAAATGTAACAAAAGCCGTCAAAGATTGAGGAAAGATGTGCACGTTCGTAAGTACTTGCGTAACTGCTTCGTGAATCTGGCTCCTGGCCCGTGAATTGTTAGAATAGTGGACTCGCGGGCTTGAGTACTTCAGAAGGGCACACAGGGAAGGAGCCCTGACTATTGTGCTAGGAGGACTCACCGTGATAGATCACAGAGGTTTTGTGGTGTCCTGTGTGAAAGTCATACATACGGTATTATCAGTGGTGGATAGTTCTTGTAAATAATTACCTGTACATAAGATTTAAGTACATTTGGTGATGGTTTTATTTAGTGTTGTTTAATCCTCTTCCCCGTTTGGTTGTCTAGTACTGCTCAGCTCTTGATGACTTAGCCCTGACTTGGGGTTGGATCTGTGAAGAAAGAGGCACTCTGGCCCTAGAGAGAGACAAAACTAACCAGAGTAACTGGCTGGCTGAGTGAGTCCAAAACAGTTCTACTGTTATAATGTTGCTGTTCTACTTTTACCTTGTTGCAATTGTAAGATGTACTGACATCCCTAATATTCTCTCGTCGTCTATGTTAATCAACCCATTCATACTTTTGTTAGAATCATACTCTGAGAAACATACCTACATATATCCACATATTTTCAGGTAATAACATGCCCAGTGGTGTTGGGGTCGACCCCAAAAGGGTCCGTCATTTAAGAATTGATACCCCTGGTTGACCCGGTACTAGGGTCGACATGGTGCCGGGGTTGACCTCATTGATATAAAGCGATAAATGTTTATAGATTTTGACTGAATATTATATGAAAATAATATGTTCAGTGCAATACACGATGGTAAATAATATTACAAAGAAATATTATGACTTTGGGGCTTCAGTACAATACTGTATATAAATATTTATTCCTACTGATAATTTTCTGCAGTTTGAGGTAATACATCTTAGATACAAAGTTAAAAATATATTATTTTGTTTGCGATGAAGTTAGAAGTTTGCATCACGATAAACAAAAAATAATAATAGTAAAAGGAAAATTTTTATAAAGATTTACAAAAGTGCAAGTAGGCACCACAAAAGTTTGATATATTTCTTAGTCATTGAAAAATAGTTGACTATTGGATCAAGTTACAATAGTTTGTATGCCTCGATTAAAAATAAAAGTCGAGAGAGCTGTAAAATGCTAAATGTTAAACAAGAATAACAATAATATAGCAATGAAGATTGCATGCTCTCTAGGATGAAGTCTTGGGTCGGCTATCAAGCCACTGCTTGATCTTGGGAAGCTGCAGGACCTTGTTAACGTGTCCCTCCACGACGGGGAACTCCTTCAGCACCTCCGGCTTCTTCTCCCTCAGTTCACCGATCATCAGGCCAATAAACAGGTCAGCCCACGTTATCTGAGGACCATAATGTATGTAGAAAATGTCAAACATTTAGCCTGATTTTTTCTTTCTTTTCTTTGCATTATTCTGATAATTGCGAACTAAATATCTGTTCCCTGCCTTCACTGACTTATTCACTGGATGATCTCTTGCACTTTGTGGGTTGCCATATTTTTGCATGCTCTTTTTTTCATTTTAATGCACGATAAAGGAACTCCCGGCGCTATGTTACTAAAAGGATCCCACCTTGGGATCACTTGTTTTATTCTTATCTACTAGGAACGAGGAGTATACATATACTGGTAATGGACATCCATGGGTTAAGAGTTTTGTTCATCAGTCATAAATTTCTTATACAAACATAACTCCAGTTCCACTAGATTGATTATTGTACAAAGACCTGAGAGGGTGAATGACTGTTACCACAAAGAACAAGGGAGATTATTAATTAAAATGATCAGCTAGATATAAATATTTGACAGACAAAAATCAGATCTGGAAAAAAGTAGTTGTTGATGACAACTTCAGTGGGTTGCACAGTTGATTTAATGGCATTAGCAGTAGTAGGCATCCATCAGTCTCAGGAGACTATAGAGTTGCGCTCTGGCGTCGGCCTGGTCTGGAGTGGCCTCACCAGGGCGCAAAGCCAATACAAAGCCAATGTATTTTCATTTGAACACTTTGAAAATCTACGTGGAATTAGAATGCGTCTAAATCAAACCTTGTCTGAGGCGAACCACTCCCTGGTGGCTAGTCGCTGGCTGAGGCGGGTCAGGAATGGAGCGATAACGTTGGGGTACAGCTCCTCATCGTACTTCTTTTTCTTCTCATCCTCGTTTCCTGGAGCGAACCTGAAGAAAAACCAAATTGCTTTTTTTAATGAGCTTACCAATATGATATTAAGTGATGAGAAAACTAATTCGAATATTAGAGCCACATCAGGAATCGATTATTAAAGAACAATGGAGTTGCGCTCTCTTTGTTGGTCTGGAGTGTCCTCTCCAGGGCGCAAAGCCCGGGTAGGTTGGTTAGGAGAAGCTGTTACCCATGCAGCAAGTCCCGTTCTCCACGGCGCCGAATGTCTCAAATGGAAAGGCAAACGCAATTACAATTGGTTTTAGCAACAGTCCCAGGAACTGTGAGCTCCGGAGTTGACCTCGAAGTTTGGTAAAAGACTGCACAGGGACTCCAACCCCGGAGACCGCCGTGGTCGGGGCCGGAGAAGAACCACCCCACCAAGGGCAAGAACGACCCCAGCCTCCTGAAGCAGGGCCTGGGGGGCCGCAGGAGCCCCAGGAGGTGGACGGCCCGGTCCCGCACCTTCGGGTTCCTGACAGTGATCATCACAGCCCTCTTTCACCCGAGGTCGGCCTCCTTCAAGACCAAGCAGAAGGAAGAGTGATAATTATTAAATACAACAATTATTATTATAATAATTATTATAATACAAATATAATTAATGAATAATTATCACTCTTCGTTCTGCTTGGTCTTGAAGGAAGCCGGCCTCGAGTGAAAGAGGGCTCTGATGATTGACGGTCAATAAGACCATAAATTTTTGGTGAGTGAGATAGCAGCCTATAGTCATACATACAATTCCTTGTTTGCTGATGTCATCATTTCAGAAAAAGTATCTGCAAGGGCGTCGCAGTAGGCAGCTTCGAGGTGGTCTTGTGGGACGAGGTCCGCCTGCTTGGCCACGTAGCGGGCGATGGCCAGGGACTGCGGTAGAGGCTTCCCGTCCACCATCAACACCGGCACCTTGCCCCCCGGAATGCCTGGAGGAGAAGGAAACGGATTAAAACAATGCAGAATATGATTTTCTGCAACTTTTATTGAGTACACTAGTTGTCATTCACACTCTTGGGACAATTAGTAGAGACCGCTGCTGACCTAATATTCACATTTGAACAGTTAGTCTCGCATCAGTTGCCCTGTGGACTCATTGCCTTGCCACATCCACGATGAGAATATAACTAAATAATTGTACTGTTTAGTGTTTTTTCTGGTCATTATCATCACCATGGTAATTTGACATATACAGACAAAGGCACAAAAACTGACCACATTGGTTCAAGTGAGGGTGCAGCATGACCCATCCCAGCATACTGGTAGTCACTGCCTTCCTTCACCTCACCTTCTCCCCATATTTTGGGTATACCTTCACTGTTGACAAGACCATTTGGTCACCACTTGGTCCGGGAGACATCTCCCGTCACGCAGGGTGCAGTTGCGCCTCCACAGATCTCCAGTATCATCTTTTGATACTGGTAATGGCTCGAAAGGGCCACCACTTACGGGCTATTCATGCCCGTGCCACCTCTTGGGTGGCTTAATCTTCATCAATCAATCAATCACTGTTGACAAAGCCTTGGACAGTACAACACTCACTGGGTTTACGGGACGGCCAGTCTGCCTTCTCGATGCGTTCATCAGTGTAGGGGATGCCACTGTACGCGAAGATCCAACGGATCAGCTCAGCGCGGCCCGCGGCGTTGAAGTAGATCAGTTTGTATTCTGGCATTGTGGTGGTGGTGGGCAAATACCTGGGAAAAGACAATTGCATTTAGTTGTGGGGATTGTGTTGTAAAGATAGAAGTCAAAATTGTAATTGTGAAAACATCAAATTTGTACAAAAAGAGGCTATGTGAGGACACCGATTTGAGGTTCATGGAATCAGACATATTTACCAACCACACGACCATACAATACACCCAATCACACACATACAATTTCCCATTATACATATACAATATGCCATCACACTAAACTCATGGTATTTAGTATAAAAGGTTTATTATATACCAGTCCTGTATGTGGTACGATAAAGGTCATAGTCGCACAAAGGGAACAAGAACAGGGCCCTAATGTTCTTCTACGAATTAACCCAAGAAATATACATTCGTGGAGAATTAGTTACACCCATCTAATGGGCAGCAGTGGATAAGATACAGGAATGATGGAACAGGCAATTAGCGATTCAGAAACCGGATCTAGGACACAGTTCTACATTCAAAGGTTCTGATACTCAAGCTAGCCAGATAGAGATTCTGATAATAATCTGACAAATATAATTGTGGAAGTAGAAGGAGAGTTTAGCAACTCAACAGCCTTCCCAACAGAGTGACAGTCAGAACAAGTAACAACTCTTCCATCACTACAATATCCTGTAGAGGGGGTAGCAGCAGAGTCCAACAAAGTGCCATAACGCGCCACAAAGTCAGGGCCGACGTCCTCGATAACCATGCATACACCAAGAAAGATCTCCTGAAGGTCATTATAACCGTCGCCAACGTGACACCCATCAACATCAGACAAGGAGTGGAAATCGTGCTCTACTTCTCGAGCGAGGAGGACCTCGAAAATTGCAGGGCGTTGATGGAAAGCTGCGCCAAGTGCACCTCTGCCTCAACTACCCACATCGGTACCTTGCCGCACGAACCGTCTTTATCAGCGAGACCAGCCTTTGGATGGCGGACAAAGAACTGCTAGATGTACTCACCATCGTCGAGGAAAAACCCAGAACATGTTAGTATTTACAGATGCGTTCTACGGCCGAGCCAGCCGTACCAAATGTAAGCGCCCTACTATACAAATTACCGTCACCTCATTAGCCGCAGCTACCCAGGCTACCACACAAGGATTGAACTGCTTTCGCATCAAGATCCCACCCTACCAAGTGAAGATGGAACGCTTTTACAATATACAACAGTGCTTCAAGTGCTATGCATACACTCACCCAACCAACAAGTGTCAGGAACTCAACGTGAAGTGCAGCATCTGCGCCCATAATCATTACTACTCAGTCTGCAAAGCAGACACAAAATGCTGCCTAAACTGCAAAGGCGATCACGCCGCTGCCCTCGCAGACAAGAAGACATCGAACACCTGGTCGAGTCAAAGAAAGCCTGAACCCCTACCGACGTAGTCGGTCCCACCAGAACCATCTCCAGCACCTTAGCTCCCACCAACAAGCAGAAGTCTTCCCTGCCTTACCAAACAGTGAGCATCAGGCCTCTGATGCCCACCAGGCATCCCAGCCTCCTCATTATGGAACCAACGCCCAATAAGCCCCTCACAATTCCTCGCCTCACGTGAAGGGATCATTTCCGGTCTCATTTGTCTAGCTGAGAGGCTCGGCAGACCAGACAACCATCGGTTCGTCACTGAACTCAGCGCCATATCGCCAATGGCCAGGACTCCATCATTGGCCCTGAGGACAAGCTCTCTGCCTCTCCTACTACCACAGGGACTACTACAAGGACGATCTCAACCCAGACTCCAGCACCACTCAAGACCAAGGCTGCACAAACAGAAACACCTTCCACACCAGCTCCTAACGCTCCTACAATCACTGTCTCAACCGACGCGCTCGCCGACGTACTGTCTACGCCTGCTAGCAATACCACTAACGATCCTGTGGCAGCTGTAAACATCACTCTGCGATACCAAAGCCTAACCCAGGCTGTGCGGCCGAAGAGTAAACCACCGGCTCCAGACGGCGTTTCGGACTCTTCAGGTGAAAAAATCTCAGTAGGAGCAGCATCTCCACACAACCATTTCAACACCTTCAACGTGCATGACTTGTGGTTCTGCATTCAAAGGTTCATTGTTCATACATTGTGTGGACAGGAGTTACACACGCTAATGAAGCCACTATTACGCTGAGCGTTTTGGTAAAATTTAAAATAATTTGGAAACAAAATTATTTAAAGGTGTGATGGGGTAAACATTTAATACTATAAGTGATGCTAAAAAAAATTGGAAAAGTTCAATAAAAAGTAACAAAGGAATGCAATAAAAAGGTGATACTTAAAGATGACAGACATAGAGTATTACATTACATTATTACATTACATAGGCTATCACATTGTGGAGTCAGTAGATCTAGCAACAGTACAGTAGGTTGTTTACATTAATAACAGAATGGAAATACTAAGATGTAATTTAGAAAAGCAACTGAACATAATATAACATAGAGTAATATAGTAACATTTAAGTTTAATGGCATCAACACTCAAAAATAAACAAGGATAAAAAATTACAAGAGTAAACACTTTACAAATGAAATGGAAAAAATACATGACAATGAAGAAAGGACATATCAGTTAGTAAATTAAATTTCAGATAATATTAACACAATAGTAAGTTAAAACTAGGGGAAATATGAGAGAAATTAGCTACATTTTATTGAGTATATGACATTAATTATCCCACATGATATTAAGTAAATAATTCTTAGTCTCTTTTTAAACTAGTTAGGAAACGTGCATATTTTAATTACATTTGTGAGATCACTCCACAATTTGGGACCCTTGACTTGTTTAGCATTTCTGCTTTGGTTGAGTCTTACTCTATGAATATCAAATAAAATATTTGTTCCTCGTGTGGTGACCGTGAGTTCTATTACAGCCTTCTAGGAAACGCTTAAGGTCATGATTGTCATTTCAATTCAGAGTTTTATAGGTATAGAGAATGACTGAGAGTATGTGAAAAGACTTGATATATAACATGTTCAAGGATATCAGTAAGGGAGCAGAGTGGTGTCTGGAACTGGAATAGCCTAATAGGAGCCTAATAGGCGGGGCATAAAGTGCTTGACCTCCCCCTCCCCCATCCTCTAGACACTGATTGATAAGTACTGACAGATAAGTACACTCTCACCTTCCCCCCATCCTCACAATTACTCATCCCTCCTTGGCCACACTCACAAACACTCCCTCTCCCTCCCTCCCTCCCTCTCCGCCGCAGTCACAAACAATATTTCCCCCCACTCCCCCGGCCACCGCCTTCCCAGGGACTCAAGGACACACACATTAGCGCCAGGCTTGGCTGGTGGCGGTGAACAAAACTATTACCCATCGTGAACACAACACACATCATGAAGTTATACACTTCTGCCACACTAAAGAGAACAGTGTGCAGAAGTGTGGATTTTTATGAGTTTTGTATGTATGTAACTTTCCTTATGTTCGTGACCTGTCCAGTGGGACGAGGCTGTGGGCTCTTTAGCACCAGAGTGGTGGGAATGGAGTCTTACTGCAAGGAGGTGTTTTTGACAGCTCTCAAGAGGTGACACTCTTGACCAAGGTAACAAGCGTGCGTCATTGTGTATTAGTAAGTTGTTAAATAATCTTATGTTTGTTTATGCATATGCCTTTTATGTCTCTCCTCGCTCTGAAGTACTGCCCCCACATTTCATCACAATTGCTACTTCAATTTCATAATAATAATTTGAGTTGGCTCGGGATCAGCTCAAAGCATCAAGCACTGAATATATATTTGGTGTGAGGACCCATCCGCTACCTGCTATATTTGCTCGCTGGCAAGCAAGTTGCAGAGCAAACGAGGTGTCGGAAGAAGCCCGGTATTGCTTGTGGCAGCAGAACAACGTCCTGACTTTTATCTTAAATGTCTCGCTTCATGCAGGTCGGGGTTTCAATTCCCGACTGTCCAAATGGTTGAGCACCATTCCTTTCCTCCGTCCCATCCCAAATCCTTATCCTGACCCCTTCCCAGTGCTATATAGTCGTAACAGCATGGCGATTCCTCCTGATAGTTCCCTTCCTTTTCCACCTGGGATACCAGGACCTTGACGTCTTGCTCACACCTCGGGGGTGTATTTGTTTGTTGTTTGGCTGTTGTAACTTTCTGCACAGTGACCTCTGGCAATGTTGGTGCGGGTGCATGCAATTGCAGGTTGTTGCATGATGCAACAATAGACAAGGTAAACATGTGAGTCCACATCCCAAATATAAACAAATTTTCACATTCTGACGCAGCAACGTGTGGCGTTACTCTGACGGTCTTTGTGAAGGGGGTATCCCTCACACCAAGCTGACCTCTATAATGAACATTCTGACCTCTATAATGAACATTCAGACCTCTATAATGAACACATGGACCTCTATAATGAACATTGCGACCTCTATAATGAACATTCTGACCTCTATAATGAACATTCTGACCTCTATAATGAACATTCTGACCTCTATAATGAACATTCTGACCTCTGTAATGAACATTCTGACCTCTATAATGAACATTCTGACCTCTATAATGAACATTCTGACCTCTATAATGAACACTCTGACCTCTATAATGAACGTTCAGACCTCTATAATGAACATTCTGACCCCTATAATGAGCATTCTGACCTCTATAATGAACATTCTGATCACTATAATGAACATTCTGGCTTCTATAATGAACATTCTGACCTCTATAATGAACACATGGACCTCTATAATGAACATTGCGACCTCTATAATAAACATTCTGACCTCTATAATGAACATTCTGGCTTCTATAATGAACACATGGACCTCTATAATGAACATTGCGACCTCTATAATAAACATTCTGACCTCTATAATGAACATTCTGACCTCTATAATGAACACATGGACCTCTATAATGAACATTGCGACCTCTATAATAAACATTCTGACCTCTATAATGAACATTCTGACCTCTATAATGAACACATGGACCTCTATAATGAACATTATGACCTCTATAATAAACATTCTGACCTCTATAATGAACATTCAGACCTTTATAATGAAAATTCTGACCTCTTTAGTGAACATTCTGACCTCTATAATTAACATTCTGACCTCTATAATGAACATTCTGACCTCTATAATGAACATTCCGACCTCTATAATTAACATTCTGACCTCTATAATGAACATTCTGACCTCTATAATGAACATTCCGACCTCTATAATGAACATTCCGACCTCTATAATGAACATTCTGACCTCTATAATGAACATTCTGACCTCTATAATGAACATTCAGACCTCTATAATGAACATTCTGACCTCTATAATGAACATTCCGACCTCTATAATTAACATTCTGACTTCTATAATGAACATTCTGACCTCTATAATGAACATTCCGACCTCTATAATTAGCATTCTGACTTCTATAATGAACATTCTGACCTCTATAGTGAACATTCTGACCTCTATAATGAACATTCAGACCACTATAATTAAATTTCTGGACCTAGATTCAGGAAGCTCCATGTTTTTCTTCGTAAATGGGTTTGCTACGAAGGTTCCTAAGTGTGCCCTAAGAAGATGCTTAGGTGCGATTCACGTACGTCCACTTAGGATGAAATTTGTTGGTTCACCTGCGTGCCGATAGAGGTCACTACTGTGTTTCGTTTGGCCAATCTTTGGCAACATTCTTCATATTGAAGATTTAGCGCTGGCTTATCGGAGCTCTACTGCCTCCTATTTACGTCGAATTTTCTTATAAAATTAATATATTTCGAAGTAAAACAATGTTTTTTCAACTTCTACAGCCAGCACCGACATTGTAGTAAACAAATATGTTACATTTGTTGTTTACCTACGTAATTCTAAGAGATACTGTGTAGCTGTCCTTGTTGCTCGGAAGATGCGCTGACAATTATTGTATATATTTACTGAATTTACCCAAGGGCCACTAACTGTCTAGTGACCTCGAAGAGGACAGAAAGCCGGCGGCTTGTTAAAGGGCCCCGTCAATTGCCTTAATGATATTTTTTAGCTGGAATTTGGCATTTACGGCTTCAGCGGGTAGGCGGTTCCATGGGTTTATAGCCCTCTTGGTGGAAAAAAACATCTGTTTTCAGTCCTACTTGAGAGAACATATTCTCCAACACTATATCTGTGATTGCCCTGTTATCAGTGACTTCATACCAAATGGTATGAGGTATTTTGAGCTCTGCAATTACTTCATACACTCAGGAATATTGTAAGATATTCTTGTGCTGCACCCAGATTTTGCCAGTGGAGGCTAATAGATCAGCATTAAGTATTTTGTTCTCTCCTAATTCCATGTATGACTGGCCATCCTGTGAGGTGAGGATGTTGGGTGAGCTTGTAGCTGGTTTTTGATCTACACTGTGTGGTCCTTTATACAGAATAGGGAAGCAGCACATTGCTGTGTATACCTAAACATGTTAAAAAATGCGTTGTTTGAGAGGAGTCTTATAGAAACTGGTAAGAATAATTATAATATAATGTTTCCATGATTCAGTGCTTATCTCTTATGAAAATCGTGAAGAGTTGTTTAGTCAGAGTTGATTTGTTTTTTGTATTGAGGCTTGGATTTTCTACCTTGATTCCATGTATGTCTAACCATCCTGTGAGATGGGAGTTTAGATAAACTTATAGCTAGTTTTTTATCTACACTGTGTAATATTCCATATAGAATAGGGTAGCAGCACATTGCTGTGTATACCTAATCTTTTTAATAATAAAAAATCAGTAATAAAGATTTTAAATTATAGTTTGTGTTATTACAAATTGTTACGATATATCGTATCGTGTTATTTCATCGCATAAAGACACGGTTATTTATTAGTAATACGTTCATTATTACAGGAAGAACGAGGTTAACAACCGTGGAGGTCGTTAACGGTCAGCACTGTATGGCTCGTCCGGTGGCGGGAATTTCTGTTAGCCAATCAGAACCACCGGGCGAGGTAACGTGTGCTGGCCGGAGCATGTGGAGAATCAGACCTTTACTCCCCTCCATTCAGTCAACATGTTGTCGTCACTTTCGGATGTTTGACCAACTGACCCAACTGTTCCAGTATGCTCCACCCTTACCAAAGGAAACGGACGTGAGGACCTAGCGGCATGGTAGACATCTCTGAGGTCGTGGAAGGCACCGTCATTGATAGTTAGAGGCGCTGAGGTAACATACTTTTTCCGAATAGTGGTCCTAATTACGGAAAAGTGGATGATCTATAAGTGGGGAGAACAATCGGACAAGAGACGACCATTTCATGGTCGCAGTCTCTATATATATATATATAACTGTACTTATGTACAATGCCTTAATATATATACATGTAATATATTGTATATAATGTGGATCGAGATATATCTGAATATATCCATGATGAAGTTTTTATACAATCTTATTTTCTTGTCCTTTGTCAGACGTCGGCACAAAGTGTGTCGCACCTGACAATAGGTCCGGCTGACGGTGACACCTGATCAGGTTAATGTACTCAGTTATAGTACAACGAAACAAGATAAACCCTCAGAACAAACCTATTTTAAATGTGTTGTTGTCGACAGTTCGATCCCAACAAAATACAGTGCTGTATTATCCTTATTAAATCATGTTAACCATGGATCATTTCTCATGTTGATATGTAATAGTCATATTTCTTTTGAACTGCTAATCCATGCTAATAATTTTTTAATCATTCATTAAGTTGTGCATTATGTCTCAATTTTTCACTTCCTTGGATACACTGTACAGTACAAAAAGATAGGATAAAAATAAACCAGTAATACTTCTTTCATTATATTTTTTTATTTAAATAACTGCATCAATATTTTTACAGCTGACAGGATTTGTTTTACCATACAGGTGCATTATTTGTTAAAAAAAATTGGTTTATTGTTAAACACAATGGAGCTACATAGCCTTCCCAGCTTGGTGCCTTCTTTTAATACTTACTGATTAATAAATAATAATAAATAAATTTTATTCAGGAAAAGTACATAAAGTTGATTTACAAACATAATGTTGGATTTATAGACAGAGCTAGTACATACAATGCCTAAAGCCACTAATACTCATAGCATTTCGGGCAAGGTGTGGGGGAAAAAGTACTTAAACAAAAACTTAATAGTAATCGGGATTAGGTATAAATTGTGTTGAAAGAAGGAATAAAAAATAAAAAAGGGGGGGTTAACATAGCATAAATCAGCAATTGTACACGTTGGTAAACAGCATTGTTTAAAAAATAGCAAGACATGGGTTGACATTTAGGGAGTAAGTTAGGTTACATGGAGTTAATTAGGCAGTACTTGGTTTAACTCTTAAACTGGTTGAGAGAGGTACAGCCTTTGACATGATTCAGGAGGTCATTCCACATTCTGGGTCCCTTGATTTGTAGAGCACTTCTAGTTTGGTTACACACAGCCGAATTGTGTAACAGGAAGAGGTCTTGGACACAAATTTGTTCCATGCTAAATGTAGAGGAATCGGCTGAGTATTCCTCAAATAAAATAAGTTGCCTCAGCTTATAAGGTAAATAAAATAAGCATTTCTCAAATAAGTAGCTACCTCACTGCCTTACTGCTACATAGCCTTCCCGGCATGGTGCCTTCTTTTGATAATTACTTGTTCCACACCAAATTGTGTAACAGGAAGAGGTCTTGGACCCCTACTTCCCTCTCTTTTTTTTAATAGTCCATATAGTCATAATTATAGCTTTAAGTATTCAATGAATAAAGTTTTTGACATTTTTACCCTTCTCCTTACCTAACATCATTTGTGCAGCATATTTTTATTTTATGTCTCACCCAGATTTAATCTCAAAATAAAACCAAACTAAATAAATTAGAAATGGGTATGTATAGGTAAGGTACACCCTTACTACTAGGTGAACAGGGGCATTTAGTGATAGTAAATGATCCCATCAGGCAGGGCTCATCACCTTCTCTCATATTTCATGTTCACCAGTGTTTATTTACTTAATAACTACGGGTATAATATCTTGCTATTATAAAACTAATTCTAATATCATAAGACATATTTACTCAAAGTTTCAAGCAGAGAATGCATACATAACTAACACGAAGGACTCTTCACGAGATTCAATTTTTATAATCTTTTGTTTATGTTCCAAAATCTGAAAATCGATCCCAGTGTTATGTAGTAGAGAAAAATTGAGTTATATCCAGTTTACGTAAAGCTACGAGTGGTCGAAACCACACTTAGATCCCGGACCAAACTTACAAAGGTTTTTCGACTTAGAGTAGCTACCTGAATAACGACGTAGCCGCTAAGAAGAAAAACCTTCGTAAGTACCTTCGTGAATCTGGCCCCTGACTTCTATAATGAACATTCTGACATCTATAATGAACATCCTGCAACCCGTTCTCGCAAATTCGTAAAGTCAATATTGACTTATTAAAGTAAGTAAGTAATTATCAAAAGAAGGCACCAAACCGGGAAGGCTATGTAGCACCATCAAATACGCAAAATAATCAGAGGGCGCTAAATATCACCAAGGATGCCAATACGAGAACAAAAACGCATAAGGCGAACGATATCAAAAGTATCCGAGTCACCAAGAATTCTATCGAGGGACAGGTGACCGCGAGGGGCGGTCGGAAAGCAAGACACACGCTCGTCCTGGAAGTCAGGACATTCAAGAAGGACATGCACGACCGTAAGAGGGACAATGCAACTAGGACAATAAGGAGCAGGGCGGCGCTCCATCAAGTGACCATGGGTTAAGCGAGTATGGCCAATACGCAACCTCGCTAGAGCTGTTTCCCACCGCCGGTTACGGTGGAAGGAGGACGGCCACGAGGAAACACAACATTTAAGAGTACGTAGCTTGTTACCAGTAACAGACAACCAAGAAGCCTGCCAACGGGTAAGGACTGAGGAATGGATAACCGGGTAAAAGTCGGAATACGGAATGCCTTTACGAGAGATGGGACAAGAGCGGACAGCTTCCTTAGCGGCAGCATCCGCACGCTCATTTAAAGACACGCCAATATGGCTGGGAACCCAACAAAACTCAACCGACTTAAATTTACTGTGAACGAGAAACAGCCAATGCTGGATCTCG